CTTGGAAGTCGAGTAATTTCTTTCAGGAATTATGCTCAGAAGTGGTTGGTCATCGTGGCCATTAGGCCTTACAATACCCTTAATTTGGACTTTGTCCAAACCAGAAAAAATGAACAAGTGGATCCTTTCTGCGAATCTCCCATGGGAACACAAGCTGCAGAGGTCGCTCAGTGGTGTGTCCGTTGTGCGGACAGTACTACACCCTTTACAATTCTTTCCTCGCCTTGAAGGAGGCGCAGCAGTGTCCCTTTCCTCCATTCTCCACGGTTCTTTCCGTCACTGACAATAAGAACAAGCCTCCCTTACTGTAGGTGTGGCTCCCACCTTCTAGTTTAGACGTTGCTTTCCATTAGGCCATGGATATACTCTCTCTTCCATCGCTTCCATGCTTTAGCAGTTTCTGATCTCTGCTTCATCTTCGTCATCTTCGTCATCTTCTCTTGATCGTTCTCAATGTCTTCTTATGGATAGGCATCTCGCCCCCATATGATTACATTCGGCGTAAGAACCTCTTCGTCTCCCCCATCTCAACGTGTGTCTGGGGACAATTATTTAGATTTCACTCACTCTCAATGGGAAATGATTTAAAGGCTTTGTAGGAAAGGTGGGACATTCCATGGGTCTTGTGAAGGGCCCTTTAACCTCCCCGCCGAGGGGATCTCGCCTGATTGAATTTGCAACAAACTTCGAGACTTGCCAGATAGTTCTACCACTTCTCGATTTTCTGTATAGTTTTGATCCAACCTGATGTAGTCTTGAAAACTGCAGCATTGTCTGAGATAATGACGAGGCGCTTCGTTCTACGCGAGATGAAAGCTTTAAGCTTCCTCTGGAACTTGTCTGCTTTCTGAGACTGTTCTCTGGCAGGTCACTTGTTGGTGGCGTTCCATACGGTCTTGTGGAGAATACTTTTAAACATAGTGCATCTCTTGATCGTCTTCTTGACTTTTGCTCTCAACCTCGTAATCCACCAGCTCTCCGTTACACTTTCTGTGGTACTAGAAATGCATTATCTAATTATGTACATGGCCAATTAGCTTGCCAGCAAAAAGTCCCCCTGGAAGGTACGTTGGCTTGTACTTCTTGTTTCTCCCTTCACACTTGATGATGTCTGTCTGTTAATCTTCTACTAATTTCCACCCTCGAGATTGCAAACTCGCTTGGTCTGCATTCTGGACTCGCCTCACCCATCAGTTTTGTACCGCAGCTATTTCATCGGTTACCAATGGACCTGAGCTCCTCTTCAGCTTGTTTCTCCTCAAGTTACTGATTACCATCGACGTCCAGGCTGTCATCTTCATGGTTCTCCAGGAAGCGCCCCTCTCCAAAAATGCATCCCATTATCTGGCTTTCGCTCTTGTATGTGAGGGTTCTCCTCTAGGATAGATTTGCACTCTTTAAGGCCGCTCTGGTGCCTTTTAACTCAGGTTTATTTAACCACTTTGTTCCATTCAACAACCAATCAGTGCTGGTGAACCAGTCCTCTCTCTCCATTTATTCAGTTTTTTCTCCTCTGATTGCAAAGTCAGTCAGATTCATGTCTGTTGGAAAGCACTTTCAGTTAACTTAGAGCTCACCAGTTGTTGCCTCGATCTTCTTCCCTCTGTTGACCACAAACACCTTCCAACGCTTTGCACTATTGCTCATCCGATATAAGGCAACCATGCTGTCCATAGTGAAGACTTGATGTGCCAACGCAGCAGTGCACCACGCTGGTTCTTTGCCATATTCGCTGCCATATGACCGCTGACAAGTTCCGGTCTTGGCATAGAAGTATTCTTTCAAGATATTCGTGACTTCGAAGACAGAAGACACTTAACTACAGCCTTTTCAACAAAGAGAAAAAGGCTTTCACTTGCAGGTTGTTTACAAGGAGTGTGAATTTTTTTCAGTTGGGTTGTACTATGTCGTAAAATTTAGGTTGTTCACTTGAAAATGTTATTTAATCTGGGAAAGCACGGTTAATAGTGACAAGTAAACACGCAATTTAATCTTCTGTTGCACAGTACTTCAAGGACGTAAACGGAATTTTTCCCTATCGAAATCAAATGTATCGGTTTTCCCACTTTTCGGGGCGCCGCAGCTCGCCAAAGTGAAAGTGAATTCTAGAAACGTTTGCTGCTTGACCGCAATCATGGCTCCTAGGTCTGCAGATATCAATTCAGTCGAAGAATTTATAGAGGATTATGCAACGAAAACACAAAAAAGAAAATTCTACAAAATGTTGCTTCGCTTAATGTACATGGCAAGACTCAAAGAAGAAATTCCCAAAAAAATTTCAAAGCAGAGCCAATCATTTCGTAGTATCTGAACAACAGCAGAATTTCCCTTATTTTGAGTGGACTGACGACAGGGAGCTAAAAAAATACAATACCTTTCGAGTTGCAGAATGCTGGACTGAAATTCATTCACCTCGCTCAAAGGCAGATAATCAACACAGCTGTCGTTTTTTGAGGGCGCACTCATCGAGGGGCAGCTAAGCTCATTAACTAACAACCTGAGTCAAGCCTCGACGCTGCAAATCCAGCGAACTAAAGAGGAATCTTTCCTAAAACGCTAAAAAAGACTTAAATCTAACTCTTATTGGGAAGCATCTTGATCGTATTTGCGATTTGTGATACGTACGCGTTCAAAAAAATTGTTATTAAAAAATAAAGCTGATAATTAACTTTAGCTTCTTCTGAACTTTCAGCGGCTTCCAAAATGGAAATTTCCAGTGCGTGCCATTTTTGTATCATTCTAAAAGAATAATTGTTTAACGTAAGTTTGAATAAAACTTTAGTGTTGATTCAGTTTGTTTGAAATAACGGCGTCCATCATGTATCTTGATGTGGTGTGTTGATTTCGCTAAACGATATTCATGATCAAATTTTTGCATTTTGTTTTATAATAAATTTCGGATGTAACTAGTGTTCTCATTGTTGAAAGAGCGTTTTTTATCAGAGTACAAAACACGGAGCTAAAGCTGTCACGCCATCTTCCAATTTGTACAATTTCCGACCATTGCCCGGATTCCTCTCTGTTTTTTTTTTCGTTAATTGAACCACAAGTCTGACATGACTTGTAAAAGCAATATGAGAGCAAGCTCTTGGCCTCAACGGATACAGAAAAACCTGTAGGTAACAGAACAAATTTCATGGAGATAGGAAGTGAAATTTTGGAACAAGCTGACCAGCAATTAGCAAGAGAAGATAGGTTTTAAACATGCGAAATTACAACGTGAGCAGAGACAATAATCACCAAAATGGATAAAATGGACTGTCCGAGTTTTGAAGGAAGTAATGCAAGATAATTAAACGGATTCTTTATAAAAAAAAAACAAATGAAGAAGTCTTGACTGTGCTCTGTTCTGTTGTAAGACTTTTAAAGCAAAAAGGAGGCAGCTAGAGCACTCAAAAAGTTGGGAGAAAAACTGTATTGCGTCTCGTGTTTTCCCCTACACTTCTTTCGTGCTCTAGCTGCTTCCTGTGTACTTTACAACAAAACAGAGCACATATAGAAAAAAAAATTACTTCATGCTAAGTTTGCTTGTACCACATTATTCACTCGTTGCAAAGAAGAAAACACACTCGCTCGTTCCTCCCTCGTTCGTTTTTTCTTCACAAATCGTGGGTATAAATCATCGACGCGAACTAACCATTAAGTAATTTATAAATGGCTAAGCCCCACCGACGCCAGCAAATTTAGTTTTCATTTCAGAGCCATAATTCGTACCGCGTTTAAGTATTCGGAAAGAACTTTATGCTTTTTTATTTATTTCTTTTTTTTTTTGTTTTTTTTCTTTCATTTCAATAATTCTTGCTTAAAGAGTCTCTCTCCATTCATTTTATCACAGTTCTCAGCTATGTCAAAGTAATAGGTCTTTTTAGCTATGTGGTCACGTGGTTTGAAACGAGTAAGCAAAAGAATGCAAAATGACTGTTAGGTATATAACGCAGGTGACACCTTATGGACGAAATTCCTTCCTCTCTTTTTAATAAAAAATTCATATTCACAGAAAGATCAGCAGCACTCAAAAGACTGCGGTTATATAGAAATCGGCGATAACCGAAATGGAATCATTAACTAAGATCATAAACAACCTCGAGTTGGATAAACAAACTTGTGAGCACATGATCTTTAAAGATCGCAAAAATACACGAAACGGGCACAAAAGGGAAGCAATTGTATCACACCAAGAAATTTTTGACGATTTTGTGATTTCAAGTCAGAATGAAGTTATATTTTGTCGAAAACTATACAGTTTTTTTGTTTTGCGCTAATTAGTTCGCTCTTGATCGGCAGCCGGTCAAGATTCTCAAACGACTGAATAATCGGCAATCGGATATTTTTTTGAAAATTTAACAAATTTATAGAAGCTACACCATCCAAAGAATTACATGTTAATGAAGAACCGATAAGCAATCTCGAAGTAATTTTATCTCATGTCTTCAATCTCGAGCCCAGGGTCATTTTGGCTCCTTGTCAGCGGTATTGTCGCCAAATAATGTCCTCTGGGATAATCAAATTTTTATCCCAGAAATCGCAGGATTCCGGTTTTAACTGCGCATGTCTACACTGTTCAGTTTTTGCTTCCGGTTGACTTCTGTGCGTGCTCAAAATAGAGCACACGGTCCGCTACGCCAGCGGAAGAAGAAAAGAACGTAAATTACCTTTGTGCACGTGAACTAACATTAACAGCTGAAAACTGTTTGAAACACTATTTCATTTTGAAATAGCTTTTTACGGACCATAAAAACATGAATAGGTGCCATCCGCTTTCAATCTCCGAGTTCGTTTTTCTGCAAACTTGAAATCCTCGTCTTCGAAATGTTCAGACCACACTTTGCTACCAAATATTACACTTAGGTCTTTATTTGATCTTATTTCATTCTAAAAGTCGATATCTGTTTTAAAATACATTAAAAAACCATAACGACATTCAAAAATCAAGATTAGACGAAATTTTGTTTTTAACCATTTACTAATGCTATTTACTGTGTTTCTATTGTTCCGGTCAGACTCCTTCATGGAAACAACCTACAACTTATTCCTTATCGAGCCTTCTTTGCCATGGATGCCTTGAGGATAATGTAGGTACACTCTAATACACACACTTTTCGAATGATTTATTGTAAGAGACTGGTGCAATCGACTTTGTGTAATTTTTTTTTATTCCTTCGATTTTATGCCTTGACGCTTCTTTAGACGAAGCACATAGACAGGATCTGAGAATACAAGCTACATTCAATTGTAAATAGCCGGCCGTTGTGGCTCACTCACCTCTGATAATTGCACACAACTTACCACTTTGGCCAATTCCCAATATTTTTCACACTATTTTTATTAATTGGCGCATGAACAACTTAATCAACCGGTTTTTGTTTGAATATTTTGAAAATGTTCTATCAGGTAAGAGTGCCGTAATTTGAAGTGCACGATGATATAGCTACTATGACGGGAATGATACGACAAACACGACGATATCAACGTTGGTGAATACGAATTAACTATGCTAATAGTGAGGATGATTATTATAATGCGGATAACATTGATGATAACTTCGATGACGACGAAGATAATGATGCTGACGATGATACTGATAACGACGATGACGACAATGATGACGTCAATAACGATGACATTTTATCTTTCTATCTTTTACTTACAGAACACTAACTGATAACCCAATAGAGACAATTGAGTCGGAGGCATTCAAGTTTTATGGACCTAGTATCACAAATTTGTAAGGGATCTTATCTATTTACTCACCGAGTAAAACCTTGACACCTCTCCTCTCTCAGAAATGGTACCCCCGAGTAAAGCTACCGGTAAAATGGTAAAGGATGTCGCATCTGTGGTTTTAAACACATTCTTTAATGTTTGAAAACATACGCAAGGGAGGGGGGACAGTCAACCTCTCACGGGAGATCTGCTAATACTGGAAGTCAGTGGAGCTATATATCAGAGAATTTACGGAGTCTGCAGCCGAACTCAGGTGATGTGCTGTTGTTCGTGTGGCGGAGGAAGCTATCAACAGTATACAAATCTGTGTTGCAGTGTATATTGTTCGACAATCTGTGCACCAATTATCGATCAAATCATTGAATCTACCCGAGCAACCTATTGGTATTTTGTTAGTGGAAGTGTTATTCATGGTCCAGAATCAGGTCCTATTCACCTGTGGAAGTTCCACTGCCAGGACAAGAAGACTCCACAGTTAATCGTTCTGAAACTCATGTACCGGAGATCTCGAACTGTGCCCTAGAAGAAAGACATTACTCACCTGAAAGGGAAATCACGCAATTATCGGACTTAGAAACTCCGGGAATAAAGAATGACGAGCCAACAGTCTGTGAGAACTTCGTTGAAGTTATCATGGACAACTTTCAGTTGAGTAGGATGAGACTGGAATAATTGTTGCGACGGCTGAGGTCAAAACCAGAAGTCATCAAGCGCTATGATGACGTCATTCACGAGCAACTTCACACGGGCAAAATTAAGCCAGTGAGCATGGAGGAACAGCCAGAAGTAAGAAAGGTCCGCCATCTTCCCTACAGAGAAATTACCAGACTTGAAAAAGACACTGCAAAGCTTCGTGCAGTCTATGATGCATCTGATAAAAAATTTGGATTAATCCTCAATGATAAGGTTCGATGTATGCTGTGAAAAGCAGGCAAACTATATGAAATGTCATCTCTCACTGCGCTATATGCAAGGAGCTTGAAGGAAGACCATACAGTACTCCGGATCTCCGCAGCCTCAGCTCCCAGATTTCACAGTTTCCGACGAACTAGTTTTCACTCAAGTTGGTCTCGATTTTGCTGGTCCAGTCTATTTTAGAAATATGTATTCTAACAAAAGCAGAGTCTTCAAAGCATTCATTGCAATATTTACCCGTGCATCTCCTCGGATGGTGCATCTCGAGCTCGGTCCCGACCGGTCAACAGAAACTCCCCTTGAGTGCCTATGGTGTTCCATTTCAGGAGGGGAGTTACCACCTATGATCTCCGATAGTGGGAAAACATTCAGAGGTTCAAGTTCAAAGGCTTTTCTTTTCTGACATATTCCATAAGTTCAACGTCCCTTGCGCGGTTGGTACGCTCTGTGAAACGCTACCTCAAGAAAAACCTTGGTAAACACGTGTCATTTACGAAGAATTTTTTTATTTCTCCATAAGTGACACTTACGTTTGTAAGTACGTAGGCTAAAAGACGCTTATGGTTCAAGATAAAGGAATACTCGACCCTCCACCTGTCTTCTATCAATGAGGAACTTAGGGTATCTTTCTGAACTTTTTTATTATAATTTGGGCAAGAAGACAACTCAATCTCTTGTGATTAAGCAAGGAGGCGTTTGTATCGTCTTCGATAACTCGGAGAAACACAAGAAGGCCAAACGAAACGACGAAAATAAGCCTAATATCACACTCGAACTGATTTTAATCAAAGATAAATCGAACACACTAAACAACTCATTTATATACACACGAAGTATTCTTATAACTCATTTAGCTCACACGAAATATCGTTACATCCTCCTTAACGAAAACATTTTGCAACCGTCGTCAAGTCATTTAGTCAGTTCATTAAGAGTCACATCTGCCCGGTCTCTTTTCCACTCGTTCACTTCTGGTGACAGTAACAGGGGCTGCTGGTGCACTGCGAAAGACTTCAGTAGCAGGGGCTGAAACTTTGTTACTAGACTTTTCAGGTACTCGTGATCTTGGTTGTATAGCTTCCTAGCTAGGTCATTCTTGAAATGTCGACGGAGGCTCTGGATGTGGTGTCACTGTGGAACCTCAAAATAGGGCTTAGGGGAATCATTGAAAATCTCAACGGGGGGTACTGTCCGGAATAGCTCTCGAGACAACCTCAAATGTCTTCGGTTCCTGCTGTAGATGCGTCCATCCTTTGTTTGAACTTCCCATGACCTTATTCCAACCTTTTTTATCAACAGCTGCTTTAGCCCATCCAGCTGACATAATAATCTCTCATTGGTTGGAAGCACGTTCACCGTTGCTCCACTGTCCAACTGAAACTGGCTATCATGCCCATTGGCAACCATCTTTGCAGACAACTTTCAACAACTTGAATTCCCAATGTCTCGGAACTCTACGCTCACGGTCAAAAGGTATTCTTCAGAAGAGGAATCTCCCTGCATTACATTTACAGACTTTTTCTACTTTCTGTTCCTCAAAGGTTTGGATGGTTTTGTACACTGTTTTGCACACTTGACTGCAAAGTGACTTTCCTCGCCACACTTCTTGCAACTGTTTCCCTTAGCAGGACACTCCAGATTACTTCTCCCGTGTTTACTTCCATAGAAATTAGAAAGTATTACAGATCTAGATTTACCAGCCTTTGATGGGTTTTCTCCTCTGAGAATTTGCCAGTTTGCTTGCGATCTGCAACAAACTTGAGGTCCTCCTGTTTGCCCATCGCCTGTGGCTGAACTGAAGTCGCTTCGCTGGAAAGACAAATATCGATGCATTTGTTAAGTGTGAGTTTCGATTCTTGTAACAGCCGCTTACGTGTGCCATTGTCCTTTGTTCCGACTACAATTCTGTCGCGAATAAGACCATCCACGAATGAACCGTAATTACATGTTTCTGCCAAAATACGAAGTGCTGCAACATATGAATCAATCGAAATCTTGTCTGTTTCTCCAAAACAAAACGCGCCTTTATTTTTCGCAGTACCACATCAATTTCCTTGCTTTCCTCTTCATTTTCCAAATTCAAACCAACGAAAATTTCGGACGCGTCCGCCCCCAAACACTTAAGTAACGAAGCATTCCTCTCCTCCTTTGGTTGCTTTATTGGAAGAGATGCAATTTCCTAATTAGACCATACGCGCCGAAAGCGTTTTCAATTCCATGCCAAGCTTCGCTTACTTTCGAGTTTCGAAGGGAACGATATATTCTGCAAAACAGCCGTGCTTACCTCAGCCAACCCTCCCTCGCCGCCCAGCATACTCCTCCACGTGGAACTTCGGACAACCAATTCGAAGAATAAATGAACACGCACCGACCAGCAGGCTACTAATACGCAGGTCACAACCATTCCTGACACCATGGAGAAACACCAAAGATGACTCGAACACACTAAAAACTCATTTATATATACACAAAATATCTTTATACCTCATTTAGCTTATACAAAATATCGTAACAGCGTTGATAATGCGCCTCGAAAAAAGGGAAGTCGGGTACAGTTCAAGAATTGATCCATGGAAGAGATCACCTTGTCCGTGCAGCCATTGTTGGGTTGATTTCTAAAGGAGAGGAGACTGAAATCAAACGTCCAGTACTGAGGCTTTATCCAGTCGAAGTCTCAAATGAGCAACACGATGGGGGGTCACAAGGAAGTTGCGGGTTCCGCTCAGTCAGCCGTCAGATTTGTTCCCGACGATCAAGTTGAAATCGTTTGTTCTCAGCGAATTATGTCATTAAAAATTGAACTTTGTCATTCATGGGTTTATCCAGAGGTATTTAATTGACTAGGTAAATCAAAGGGGTGGGGTAGAGTGTCATAATAGGATTTTGGACGCAATTTGTTCTCTTCTTTCATCGTATCATGTGAATTCTCAGATTGTAATCTCGCAATTTACACCTGTTTCTTGTATCTGTCGTCCAGAATAAAGTCTAAATACAGCTCGAAAAAAGTGTTAACTCTCTATCGCACAGAAGAATAAGTTTTGGAAGTTCTAGGAATATTCTAACTTCTTACAGCAATAACACATGAAATTAAAGAGGTGGAAGAAGAGCGAAATCGTGATTAAAATGGCATGTCTTACAGCCAACTGGTAACTATTGTGCAAAGAGCCCTTAGCTGTTATGAAAGTTACCAGATGTTCATGTTGGGGTCGTTTGTCTATTGCTCACTCACTCTTAGGGGTCATGGCCCTCTTCTCTTTTCGTTTGATCCTCCAGTACTTCCTGTCGTTCCCTATTGACTTAATACCTTCATTGAAATTAACACTATACATTAAGGTTGACCAAAATGATTTGGTAGGTGACATGTACATTTTCCCTTGGGGGCAAATTGATTATTTTTTTCATCACGCCTATGAGTCTTAAAGCACACGTAGCTTTCCCTTAGAATTTTCAGGACCTATCGACCAGCTCTCACCAATTTTTTTTAGCTAAAAAAGATTACGTTGGGAATGAAAAGCATGTTTAGCTACAATTTTCTTGAAAAAATGCGTCGTCATAATGGCCCCTTTTGTACGATCTAAGGTTCTAAAATTTGTTTCCACCAACCTACTCATCTTTTTCGTTGTGTTGTTGCAGATTTCTTCTCCGAACGAATTTGAAAACATTCCTCTCTGCCTCCCTCGCGAATTTCAGGGCTACCAATTTTGAGCTGTAAAGTATCCAATTAATTCATGTATCAGTCGTGATGAACCCATACTTTAAGATGTCGGCCGGTTAGAACTAATAAACCACTTAAAATCAATATGTCATTCAAAGTGATTTTCAAGCACAGTCATCCTCCAAATGTCTTTTGTGAATTAACCCGAAATGTAACAGGGGTGATCATATTGTTAATCTACCTTCTATTGCATATCTGTTTTAGTAATTTGTGGCAAAGAACTCCTCGGATTGTAACTTACCACCGTGAAAACAGGATCGTCCTGAAAGTACATATGTTAGTATTTCCCTTTTTCGATTATAAAAATGAGGCTAAAAAGCATTTGTACGAGAAATCAATATGTCCAATGCTTTCAATGAATTTTTTGAGAGCGTTTCATTTAAAACGCGACCGCTCAAATATAGCGTAGCTCAAAAAAAAATTCACTAGTGATACGTTTTGTAAATTGAAAGTCAAAGGTGCGTGCATTATGTGGATGAAAGGTTTTTGAAATATTCTGGAGAATGTTTTTTTTCTCCCAGCAATTGCTTATCAAGTTATGTTTGTGATGTGTAGTTAAATAACCTTGACGTTAAAATCCTTGGAGTCTACATTAAAGTGAGTAAAACTATCGACTTGGTGAGTCATGAAAGCAAAAGTTATCTGATCACTCTGACCACTCTTTAGTGATTCAACTGTTCCTTAATTATGCAGTAGGAAGGGGTGCACGTAAGGGCTCCTTATGCACTCGCATCTCTCGATCGCATTGTTTTCTTAGCGGTTTTGGACTAATTAACTTTGATGGTCAATTTCATTCTAAGGAATCCCTTGGACTCAAACCGAGAAGTTATTAAGTTTTCCGATAAAGATGATAAAGTCCTGGGGGTTGCTTTGCTACGCATGGGTTACACAAGAACTTCCAGTTACCCTGACTATGTATATCGAACGTGTCCTCTGGGAACGTTCTCAGAAGGAAATGGGAAGTGCATGGAATGTCCTCCAGGTTTGTTATCTTGTGCCTCTTTGTTATTCAGTGATGAATTTACAAAATAGCTCTTTAAGATCAATCCCTATCCTTAGGAAACTTTGCTACAATAGCAAGAAAGATTATTGTTAGAATAATACGTAGTAAGCACAGAATCATTGGGGACAAAATACCTCATGTCATTGAGGAAAAGATGGAATTGCCCAATTATATCCTCAACCGGTCAAGTGTTTAAAATGAGTTTTTGTTTTACCTGAGACTTAAAATAACCTTTTCTTGGCCGAAAAAAAAGAAGAGTTGCTATTTTTAGGGTGGTAAAAAATTCCTTTACAGTTTGATTTTCAATAGCCTCAGTGTTTAACCAGTACTTTGAAGACTGGTCTATAAATCTTGCAAGACGCACATATAACCCTAAGTAGCCTTCCGCTACACTTTATACAAATGATAGTGTAACGAAGACAATGGAAGCCTAAATGAATCACGTGGAAACTAGCTGCTCCTACGTTGTCACACGAACACATCAAATAATAATAATAATAATAATAAGTTCTTATATAGCGCATTAAAATTGAACTCTATGCGCTTAAAAAAGATTATCAAAGATTAAGAAATCCACCTCCACAAATCACATTAACTAATACGTGACTTTGGCAAATTTTACAACATTCGTTGATCACATAAAGAATCTTTGATTGTTGGGTGGGGCATTTGAACACAATCTTGGCCCGAGGGATGGGAATTTGAACGAGCCAATCTCCTAAATGTCAAATGCCCTATGAATTGCCCGGGAGGGGGATTTTGAAGCTTCGAATTTATCGACGCATTACCTTGCATTCCCTCAGCCGTCCCTTACCTTACAACTTATTTCGTTTTTTACCAGGCGGTTTCTACGTTGATTCGCGTGGCTACGTTGCAGAAAGCTGTAAAAAATGTCCAAACGGATCTTATGTCTCATTCGACAAAAAACCTGGAAAATCAATTCTAGACTGCAAGGCGTGCCCAATAGGTAAGTAATTAACACGACCACATGATGTGTTTAATCTCAATACTTACTGTTTACTAAAATTTGTATGCAAAGAGTCGTTTCAAAAGTAGCGCTTGAAAAAATTTAAAAAACCTATGAAGCGGCTGAAGACTACTTTGAGAAAACAAATATCATTTTGGGTATGATATCCATATACACCGCGCTTTTGCGCATAGATTTTGGGTTGTTACGGAAGGGGGAACTCCGGGTGCCTCCTTATAACTTCAACCTTCGTAACGTTACGGTCACCAAATTCGCCTACAGTGGAGGAACGAATGAATAAATTGTATTTATCCTCATAAATGATTTCAATTTACAGTTAGTTTTAAAACTAGCTGTGTATTTAATTCACCTTATTTTCATCACACTAAACAAAAGGTAACTACTTAGCAAGTACCGAAACCTATTTTTTACCCTTGCCGGGGAACTTGCTTTAAATCAGAATAGCAATATAAAAATTTTCCGCGTTAAGCGTACCATGGTAGAGTTTCTCATTGAACATTTTTCTTTTTTATGATGTCAGCTGCCAAACTGGATCTCGAATTTTGAATAACTGAATGTGTTTCCTGTGCATTAAGTCTACGGTAACACATCTTTTCAGTGTAATGAATGCGTCTATGAGGAATTTTGTAAAAGGGAAAATAATTTGCCCGAAATAAACATCAGCGATAAGCGGAAATAGTAGTCATTTGAATAAAAATCTTCAAATCTTGCATCATACCCAGACGAAACCTAAAAGAAGGGTATGAAGGGGAAAATTCAAAATATTGGCAAAAATCCCTTCGCAATTTCGGTTATCAGGGAACGATATCATTATCGTGCATGCCTCAACAGCTTAATATGTCCACGAAAAGATTTTGAAAGGAGTCCTTAAGTTTCGATATCAAAGCCTAAATTTTAAGTCTTGAGTATGCCTCGTATTCCCCCTGTTGAGAAAAGAATAGATTTAAAACTTGCCGAACGTGCAGAGGGCAAGAGAGGAAATGAGAAGCCTTTACTATTCATTCTCTTTTCAAGTTTAGAGAAGGAGGAGACATTCTTCGTGTGAAAACAAAATCATTTTGCAGGGAATCAAGCGCCCATATAACACTTTTTTTCAGGAAGAAATTTGAATCAGAAATATAATCTCAACAACACTGACAGTTTTCTCAATTTTAACAGGAACGGAAAGTGACTTTGTTGCTGGATATCGAGCATGTCCATGTTTGGAAGGATTTTACCGAACCCATCGATTCGCTAAATGTCTAAGATGCAAAGTAGGACTGATATGCCAAGATGACTATGCCTCATTGAAATCTGGATATTGGTGGCGGTGGCGTAACGATTCATACAAACATCGCTACCAGGATTTCATACAAAATCTTTTGGCGACTTCTCCAGTACTGGACAATTCTTCCATACAATACCCTTATTCGATGCCGACACCTTACAGGTGCCAGGTAGAGAAATCTTGCAAAGGTGGCTTGGATTCACCATGTGCAAAAGGTTACGAAGGTCCAATTTGTGCCGTTTGTAGCTCAGGATATCATAAGCAACTGGAGTTCTGCGAAAAATGTCCCTCGAAGGTTTGGATTGTGGCACAGCTTTCAATTGTTCTCGTCATTCTATCCCTACTATTCGCAATTTTGATGCGGAAGAGAAAAACAAAGTTGGTAAAGGACGAAGGTCACTATCTGATAGACATGTTTTTTTCCAAGCTCAAAATACTAATTGGCTTTTATCAGGTCACGCATGGCTTACTAGATGTGTTCTCGTACATCGAATGGCCAGATTCTCTGCAAGCTGTCCCCACGTACTCTGGAATACTTCAGTTGAATTTCTTTCAGATCGCACCTGTCCACTGTCTATTTTTAGGGTTGCACGTGAATGCCTTTGGAGAATTGCTCCTGATATTAACTTTGAATTTGAGTGTCATTGGCGCCTCTGGTGTATGTTACCTTATATATAAGACGGTAATCTTGAAGAGTCATAACCTTGAAGAAGACGAAAAGTCCAGGAAAATCAATCAAACAAAACAGTTGGTTTACAGAAATCTGTTTTTCTTCTTGTATGTAACGTATCTGAGTACATTTTCCAAAACAGCCAGCGTTCTATCTTTTGCTTGCCGCAAACTCTGCAGAGATGAAAAGGATGAGATGTGTGAGGAATACGCTAAAGCAGATTACAGCATAAAATGCCAAGGATCCTTATATAACCATTGGCTGATCCTGGCATACATTTCGACCGCATACGTCTTTGCCCTGCCTGCCGCTTCAGTTATCGTACTTTGGAGGCAACGGAGAATGTTATTTTCTTCGACAGACAGTAATAAAGACACTGGCACAGGGGTCGTTGGAGGTTTGAGATTCCTCTTTGAAAACTATAAACCCACTTTCTGGTACTGGGAACTGGTGGAGATGTCTCGCAAAGCTGTTCTAACATCTGGTCTTATTCTTGTGGGAGAAGAGACCAGGTCTTACATCGGTTTGGCATGGGTCGTTGCCGGTATGTATGGAGTACTTTTCTCTTGGAATAAACCCATAAAAGTCGCTTCGGAAAACAGGTTGATGTCGACGTCCCTTGCTGTTACTATTTTGAACTTGGGTATTGGCGCCGTGAGCAGAATCCCCGCAGAGAATATATCAGATGAAGTGGATAAACACAAAGACGAAATGGCGATGAAAATACTCATACTGGCCGCAAATACTTTGGTAATTGGCCTGCTTGTCGGTAAGAATGGCTAAGACGAACAACATATTTGTGACAATACATGTGCAAACGTTAGTTAATTCTTTTCCGTGAAACACGTGACAAAATAACAGAATACTGACCGACGATTAAGGTGATGCATATCGTTGTAACATTTTATGCTCTAAACCGCATTTTTAACTCGTGAATTGCGCGCATGCGCAAGAGCGAGTTGTAGGTACGATGTGGGAAATAGCACTCGCTCGCTCGCTCGCTCGATTGGTCGATTCCTGTAAACTTTTTTGCGATTTTAGGCTTTTGAGTGCATTTGATAGTTTTTGGCGAGCAATAAACAAACGAAATGGCGACCTCTGTTGCTAAGAATAGTGGTGGGGTGAAAAAGAAGCCAATGATAATTTTAAAAGAGTCTTTTTTTTTCGTTTTAGTTTCAACAAGCGGCGCCAGCGACTGGCAGGCATGCAAGGAGTCACACTGAAATAACAGAACAACCTTCGTTTTTCATAAAATTGTAATTTACAATCCTTAAACTTGAAAACAATCCGAAGATTCATTGAAAATATCTCTTACTGCGAAGCGCTCGGAGTTTACAGATATTCAAAAGCCTTTTCTGTTATGGCGTGAGATTGAGGACAAAATCGATCATTACGTTTCGTATCGTGTGTTTTTCTGTGTGAAGCAACAAAAGATGCCGGCGACTGACGAAATTGCAAGTTAACACGAAAATCAAATAACACCTAAACAAACAATTTTAGCTACCGATTTTCAGTGAATTTTTAAAAAACAATTTTCTTTTAAGTTTCAAGACAATTTGAAGATTCAAAATACATATTACGTACTAAAATGCGAAAGTTATACACAACAAAATTGATAAATAGGCCTGAAATGAAATTCTATCTTGTTGTTGATTATACGTTGCCTAGCACGTGACTAAATCTACCCAGGCGGAGATCCAAAATGACGGTGGCAGCCTTGGCTTAGATATCTCACTCAAAACTCGTTCCCGTTTGTCTCACTTGATAAAGAGGGAATCGTTAATTTTTTCATTAAGACAGTATTGCCTTGATTTTCTAATATTTACAATGATAGACAGTAAATTTTACTTTTCACCCACATTTACTTCCAACCTTTTCTTTTGAACCAGAAACAAAAATGATATACGTTTAAAACACATTACATCATCCACCCTTGTCAAATGTAATAGCATGATCATTTCAATTGTAATGCCTTCTTATCCCAACGTTACTTTGTTTCTTTGCTACATTAGCGAACACTGAACTACTGCTCGTACTCTAGATATGACAATCAACCACAAAATTCCCTAAACCAGATAACATTAAACATAATCCAAAAAATCGTGTGTCAATTCACGAGTTTGCTCACAGAGCACTTTGATTTCCCCTGCCATTGAGACAGCTTTACCAAAACACAACAACCAATCAAATTTGTTTAAAGAAATTAATCAAATTGCAGGAAAACGAGAGACAAATTTTGCATTTGTTTTGAGACCAGCTCAATATACCGAATCAATGTAACATTTGTACAGACTAACACAAGTTGTATTGAGCGAAACCGAAGCCCCTGAATAAAATTCTCCAGGAGTTTTATAGAAAAGTTCGTAGGAAAGACGGGGAAGATTACGAGCGTGATAGATTTCGTGTAATGGTTACGGCTGTCGACTGATGCCTAACAGAGAAAGAATACAAACGCTAAACTACTCTTTAGAGAGGTTTTAAAAGTTTGAAGAAAGTTCTTGAGGGAAAAGCCCAAAAACTCCGGCAACAAGGCAGAGGCAGGCTGCCGAACTGGTGAGCCATGACATGAAATAAAAAAAAATAAATAGGAAAAAATAGTTATATTTTTGCTTGTATATCAATAACTAATAATCATATGATTTTCTCGTGCAATTTAAGATAAATCAGCACTTGCAAATCTTTCAAAGACTACAAATTGCAAAATTTACACAATTAAAAATTTTACTAACCTTTGAAAAATTTACTCGTGCTGATTCATCCCAAACTGCACGAGAAATATCTTATGACCACTTATACAGATTGTACGCCACTCACTTCAGGTACCATAATTAATGCTCTGAACACCTGCGTGAGAGCATTTCAAGCCGGGTTGGGAATGAATGGATTAGGAAGCGTGTCTGATGCTAAAAACATCCGAATATAAACGATACACTCAAACGAGTGAAGCGACAAAAATTGATGTTTTCATACCGGAGGAGATATTAAGAGAAGCCTCATTCGTTCGTGGATACAGATTTGAGTGTAATTTTTGGTATCCTTTGCCTGACGACTTCGACGGAAGTAGCCTTTCGGGTTATGGACAAACATTGAAGCCACGCTGAGTTTTGTATAAAAGATGGTCGCATTTATCGTTTTTAAATACAATGCTATCACAAGTCTGTTCTTATTTTTTCTTTTTTGTTACTGATATGAGGTCTTTAGAGAAGCAAGAGAATCGACCGTTTGCCTTACCGCACATAAAAAAACGGAAATAATTGTTTGGCGCGTTTTGCTCGCTTAAGTTCAGACCTATTTGTACTTATCAATCAAGAAATGAGGTAACCAATGTTCTTAATCTTGAGAGCGCTTCTGGTAATCCCTAACTCTTAGCCAGCATTACGTCGCCGGCTTTTTCTCTAGGGTATCCTTAACAGCAAGGGGACCCACTTCCCAAGCCAAGGTTTAAAACATGATTTAAAGTGATTACTCACGTGACATTGCTCAGCAGCTTACATTAAATAAGGCATTCGTTATGCTGCGTCCTATCCTGGAGAGCGATATAAGTATCGTAACCATAACGTCACTTGCTATTTAACGTTTATCAATTTTTCGCAAAATTTTATTGATAGTCTACCGCCTATAATGTCTATAAAGTAGAACCTTACGGAATTTTAAATCTACACTCTTTAAACTTTCATAAAGAAATCACATAGAAATATTCTTATATGTAATTATCCAGATTTTAGCTTTGAAGGGTTCAGGTTTGCATTGCTATTAGATGGCTTACTCATTAGTTATTACTTTTTACTCATTATCAGTGAGCGCACTGATATAAATTGGAGAAACGTGCTACATTTCAAATTGAAGGGGCAAATACATTAAAAATAGATGAAAAGAAATAATAGCAAGGCTTCTCTTGATTATTTCCTTCGACGGAAAATGTTTGCTTTATCCAAAAAAAAATTAAACAAATAACAATTTTGAATTTTATCTCTGCCTCAGGTCAGTACGTGATGTTTTTGTACGAATATTTAAAAGAGTGGCGCAAAAACCCACAATGCTCCTCTTCATGCTGTCTGGCTTTGCTCCTTCCTCTGAACGACTTGCAAGGAGAAATTCGAGGTATGGTTGGCAAAAACTTGATGAAAACTCAGCTTGACACAGGTATGTTGGCGAAACCGTCCATTGCTGCCACTGCAAAGGACAGTGGAGCTATGAGCTTTACTCTTTGTGGTGAAGACGTCGAACCCGAAAAGGAAGACAAACGAAAAGATGAAGTTGTCAAAGACAGCAACAGAAAACGTCATCGCTGGACACAGACAGAAGTTGTAATGCCACCTTTTGCTTCAACCGTGGAATCTGGATCAATGAGAGGGCAGCAGCGAATAAACAGGTGAGTGTAATAAGTACTTTCAGTATTTTTATCAAAGATACAGAAAACCTTGTGTGTAGCATTTAAACAACCTTTTGCGAATATAATGAGCCATCGTCCGGTTGAGTGTAGTCCTGAGAAGGACTCTTGTCGGTAGTGGTGACTGACGTTTCGACAATCTTAGCGGAAGTCATCTTCAGTCAAGTGAATAGTTGTTGTCAATCGAATGTTCTTAGTCCGGTAAGTATAAAGTATCAATCAGTATAAATCAGTATATATATAAAATCTGGTACCAATCAGTATAAACTGATTGGTCAGTTTTGCCGTGATGTTATTGGCTGTAAGACTCAAGTGGACTATTAAATTATCAGAACGCTGAAGTTTGTGATGGAAAAATAACCGTACCTTCTATCTCTTTTCTATGTTCCGTTGATAGGTAAATATGCTCTTTTTCTTCCATACCAAAATCCAGACTTTCCATTCTCAGCACATTATATTACATATTTAATCACTTGGCTGTGACTTTCTCCGTTTTGTGATAATTATTGTCGATTTTCTTTGTCTTATAGCCTTAGCTTTTCTTACTGTCATCTCAAAGTCAGGTTTTGTAACCCTTTGGTTATTTTAAATTATTTTTTAGTTCTGTTTCTTAAAATGGTGGAAAAAGGAGTGAAAATACATGACCAAATCGCATTTGTAAAGGAATAGATTGATTTGACACAATGCCCATTTCGCCAGAGCTACTTACCTGGCTTGAAGCCAAGAGTCCATGTGCGGGCGAGAAAGCAGAATTTAAAATTTTTCCTGCATTGCAATTACGCAAATGATATCTAGTAGTGACAAACTCGTCAACGTGTTTCTTTTAATGTTGTCTTTTTGCAAGCAGTATGAAACAGAATGACTGAGTAAAACCTATGCTAAAATTCCAGGAGGATTCAGCTCCTCCAAAAATTGTACTATCGATACCTTTTTTTTCTAGACTTCAGCCTTTAATGCATGAGATGCATACCTCTGGAGAAAACTGTGATGCATCAGAAATACTGAAGACATTCATAAAGAATGAAGCAGAGGGTAATGCACCAGAGAAGCAGAAGGAAGGCTTAAAGATTGTACCTAAGGGCAATATACCACCAAAGCAAAATGAAGGCATGAAGATTGAAGCAGAGTGGAATGCACAAGCAAAGCAGAAGGAAGGCATGAAGATTTTAGTAGAGTGCGACGCACCAACAAGGCAGAAGGAACGCGTGGAAATTGTATCAGAGTGCAATGCATCGGCAAAGCAGAAAGCACTCATGAAGAGAGAAGTAGAGAGTACTGTATTGGCAAATCAAGCGGAAGACATGAAAATTGTACCAGAGTGCAATGCACCAACAAAGCAGAGGAAAGGCGTGAAGATTATGGAAGAGGGTAATAGAGTGGCAAAGCTGAAGGCATTGATAAAAAGTGAAGCAGAAGGTAATGCACCGGCAAATCAAAAAGAAGACATGAAGATTGTAGCAGAGTGCAAGCCACCAGCAAAGCAAAAGGAAGATATGGAGATTGGAGCAGTTTGCAATGCACCAGCAAAGCAGGAGGAAGGCATGAAGAATGAGACAGGGGGCAATGCACCAGCAAAGCAGAAGGAAGGCATTAAGATTGTGGCAGAGGATAATGCATTAGCAAAGCAGAAGGAAGGCATGAAGAATGAAGCAGAGGGCAATACACGGGCAAACCAAAAGGAAAGCATGAAGATTGTAGCGAAGGGTAATACAGTCGCAAGGCAGAAGGCATTCATGAAAAATGAAACAGAGAGCAATCCACCTGAAAAGCCGAAGACATAACTGAAATTAAAACCCGAGGCCATAAACTTTAATCAATCAGTGGAATGTTTGCTATCGCATAACGTGCTAAACCATACATTTAAAAACAAGTGTAGCGAAATTATTGTATCCCTCATTCAGATAGGTTTTAGTTAATGTAGAAGAGATATCTTTTATAGAAGGGGCTTTGTTTATAGACAAAAGAATCCCTTAGACTATGTATTTGTATCAAGCATAAGTGCCGTGATATATTTCAGTATCTAAATTCCATTTCTTTACTTTTATCGCCTTTAAAATCCTATACTCGATATCGTTAGCTTGTGTACTATTGTGAAGCTAATATGTAATTGTAGGCGAGTAAAACCATCGTCAAGTCAGTTACTCTTTTTTTGCAATAGCTTGGAGGACGGATTTGTTTCAACTAACGTGGAGTATAATAAAAATTTGTAATCACTAGATGGCTGCTTAGCGGGTAAAAACCGCAGGAAAAATACAACACCAATGACGAAAACAAAAGATCTAGACAAAGAAAGCAATAAGTGATATTTTGGGCTACACGATCCAAACAAATAATGGCATCTGATTCACCAGGTGACCATCAGAATTACTTTGGGCCTGACAACGGTGAGATGAATGCACCTGGTGCTCCAGCTGGTAATTTTTTCATAAGAGTTGAATGATATGTCAAGATATCTTAAATTCCTTGCCGTCCTTATAAAGCAAAGAGATGTCCGAAAAGTCCTCAGCGGTAGCGTTCACATCGACCCGGAATTTGTACTGAGATAGTCTTATTGAAAAACTAACGGAACAATACAACCCAATATGCTGGTTACATGATGCGATACATATACCACTTTCAATTTAAGGAATTAATTTAGAATAACGACGTATGCATGTTATTTTGTAGTAAGTGGATATTTAGATGCAAAGCTCTCAAAGAATCGACATTTATTGGAACTCAACGGCACGCTTTGTTACCATCATGAAGAATGGTGATTTACTATTCGGATGTTCTGTAACTGTAAAGCGTTCAAGAGTCAACATAAATACTTTTACCTTGCCATTTATAAAAATTCGAATTAGAGAGCACATGAATATCTAACGAATCTTGCTATATTTATTAAAGCTGTTGCACATCGATAACTATGTTTACAGTTTTGTTAGGTTATTTTTACCAGCTTTTAATGTGAAAGTAAATACGAGGTTCTCGGAGGAAATGCCGATATAAGTATAAAGTCCCTACTGTAGAGAAACGTGTTTTTAATTCATAATTAAAATTGCAAATTACACGAGCATTTAGATTTCCAAACCACTGGGAAATGAGGCAAACGAAAATGGAACAAGACAACGGCAGCGGAAGCAAACGGTTTTACAAACTTTAACGCAAAAATACATCACAAAAGTGAACTTGTTTCACGTTTCAAAAACGGGAACAGATGTCGCCAAAGGGAATATCAGAGTGGTACAAAAACAATCAAGTTCTTTGATAAAATAGATAAAAAATGTTTCATAAGGAAATTTGTTGCCCTGCCATTTGTAGCCAACTGTGGTCCGGGTTCGATTCCCGGACCTGTCCCATGTGGGTCGAGTCTGTAGTTGGTTCTCGTCCTCACTCCGAGGGTTTTTATTCAGGTTCTCCGGTTTTCCTCCCCCTTCAAAAACCAGCATTCCAAATTCCTTTTATGATCAAACAAGAGGTCATAATTTATCATATCTTGGATCAATCTCTTCGTTATATATTGTTTCCCCAACGATATGTGAAGCTCTACGCTTGGCTATAATTATCATTAATAGTGCTAATAGTGTACAAAGTTATGATAGAAACTCTTCTTTTCAGCGTCACGAGTAAATACATTGATTAATTGATTCTTTCGTTCATTTAATACGATTCAGGCGTACTTTTGTTCAAGTATTCATTCAATTCATTCGTTCTGCGTTATGCTGACTTACTCGTTAATTCTTAGCAACTTTTCCTTCGTTGATTCCTACGCTCTAAAAGTTCGTTGTTTTCTGATGTTTCTATTGATCTTTCATTCGTTTGCCAGTCTATTCTCTCTTTCCCTTGTTTAGTGTTTTATTAGTCACTAGTTGTTCCCTTGGATCATTCATAGGTTTGCTGGCCTGTTCCTCAACTTCAATATCTCCTCAAAGTTCACACTGGTTATCAACAGCAGAAGGGTACTGCTACATATGATTTTCGGCAACATGATCACTAAATAAACTAAATCAAAACTGCCGAAAATGTTGTTAAATATATTACAATTAAGGTCATCCTCTTTCTGGAATTGCTCAGACAGACGAAATGAATCCTACTTTAAGCTGATATCTTACTAATAGTTGTGCAACCGACTCTAAGTCGCGTTATGAAATATTCGGCGCAATGGGATTTTCCTGTTAAAATGATTGTCCCTTTGATATTAGGATTAAGGTCTAATAATAAAGATTGTTATTGCTTTAACACCAATTGCAATGTGATATATTACTGATTTGAAAACTCAAAAGATACCGGTAATTCTGCTAAAGTTTGTTTATCCTTGGAGATATTTTTCATGTTGATGAAGTGAAAAACAGACAACAAACATATCACGATCAAAATTATCCTCTTTCAAAAATATATGAAAAGCGTGCTTGGGTAAAATAAACAGAAGCTTTTAAGGTCTTTTGTTTTAAGTTTTTGTTTTATTTTTGTCACCAAAATAGTTTTCAAAACGGTTGCCCAGAAGTAAATCGTCAAAAAAGATGTTCAATCGATTTCATAGCCATTGTCCAAAAACTTTTGTTTACTCGTAGTCGTCCTTTTTTGTTTTTTGTTTTTGTTTTTGTTTATACGTTTTTTTCCTGTTCATTAGCCCAGTCATTCTCTTGTTCAATTCTTTCGTTTTTCCTTCGCTCACTCGTTTCCAGTACGTGATCCTTCAGTGCGGAGAGGAGCAGGGGTTTAATTTCCAAAGGGTGACTAACAATCGAGCTAACTTGCCTCTCGAATTAAATTCCTGCTCAAAACTTATCATTTCCTTTTCACTTCGAAAGGGTATTACCAATACAATTTTTAACAATTATTACCAACGTAACCAACAAAATCTATCTTCTATATAGAATGGCCTTCTTATATTTTCTCAATTGCGGTCTCACCGACTTACAGGCGCGTTCTTAATTTTCACGATGAGATTTTCCAGATAAAAGAGATTCCCCAAGATATTAAGATCAAAGCAAAATAATTAGCGGTTCAAGATCCTTTGTATTATAGTGAAGTGCAAAGTTGCAGATATCATATGTTTAAAATTACGGTTAACCTCGAAGTTTCGATATCAGCAACAAACAACTCTCCACGTCATGGCATTACACTGCTCACGGAAACAAACAACAAATCACGATGGATCGGGAGTTGGGTTATCTTCCTACAACTTTTACAAGTAACAGAGATTCAGAAACGGATGCATTGCTCGGATAAAGTAAATACAAATGATTGAATTTAAAAATAACAAAATTCACACTGTGCTTTGTATTTGTGTTTTCCTCTACCATAACCGGATTTACCAAGAGAAAGTTACATATGCAACACATCACATTCACTGGATTGGTAACATTGAAAAACACTCATTCTCTCCAAAAGTTAGTGATTACTTTAATTGAGAGAGACTGTAAATACTGAACAAGGATGAGATAATAATGATTTAATGCTTTAAAATCAAGTAGTTATTCTCTCTTTCAACTGCTGTCGGGTTGAATATATTGGTAGATGTTTATAAAAAAAAAAAAAAGATCTAAACGCTATTTCCGATTATTTACATTTTTTTTACACTGCTTCTAAAAGCACATAATGTCCTTTCAATGTCGTATTTCAAGCTTCATGAAAATATACGCTTTCTTTGTATCACTCAGGAGTACTTGAGAAGCATCACCATTTCGACCGATTCAGACAGTTATTTCATTCACACTGTTTACAACGAAAACAGCTGTTATCTATTTAACTCGTCTGGAAGATTTTCAGTTTTTAAATATTAACTTTTTTATAATTTCATACCACAATTTTATGGACCTTGTCTATGCGGTGAAGATCTTTAAGCAATCACAAGAGACTAAAAAAGGAAAACTCGGTCTGTTGTCCGTCACAGAAATACAATCACGATGTTTGAAGTATTTTGGGGTTGACTGGCTACTTCAGGAGTATGTTTTCTAACATTGCGAACAAAGTGGAATAATAGATGATTTGGCGACGTGGAATATCTTCTGAGATATTCTAAGTACCAAAGTTTTGGCTCTTATAACTTCTCAATATCATGAGATGCGAAAAAACAACTTGAACGTTCTGATTGTACGATGGAGTAACACTTTAAGTAGTTCAACATTTGAAACGTGCGTTGGATGAAGAAAACGTCTTCAATATTAACAGCGAAAATAAGAACCAAAGCCGGTCCATTAAGGTTTCCAAGTGCTGTAGCAGCTCTCTTGTAATGGTCACGCAATGCCGGGGAGAGAAGGGATTGCGTGACCAGACCAAGGGAAGTGACAAACAATTTTTACATTATCAAACATGAATTTGTCATTTTTCTGGTATATAACACCAAGTTTTCCCCAAGTAAATAACCATCTTGCTTTTCTTTTCATACACGCAGACAATGAGATATGGCGATGTAAAATCGAGTTTTTATGAAACGACGCAAGATCGTGGTAGGACTCCTCCTTTGATCATTTAAACTGCATGAGACTCCGTGTAATTGAGAATCTAGAGTAAATGTGTAGTTTGGTTCTCTTAAGACTTAAAAAACGCTAGAAGACATTGTTTTTTTAAAAAACAGGATAATCCTGTTACGCCCAATGAATCATTTTTCTGCAGCACATATACTACATTTGCTTCCACCCTTAGATATTGCTTCTCGCCGCCCATGCGGAAATATTCTAATCGCTCTTTCTGTAAAGCCAACATTTATGATGCGTGGTAATTTTCGGGAAAATATTCACCCCATGATTCGATTCTCCCAAATTACAACAATACTCGTTGAGTTAAAACAGCATCTATTTTTTTAAATTTGTTAACAACATGAAATTTCGGCCGAGTGTTGCTTGCCAACTATCATAATCGCAAATCTGCAATATCTGAAAGAATCTTTTGAGCAATTACGTATACGTAAACAGCTCTCTAAACGTTCTCAATTGATATCAAGAAATATTATTTCTATTTGAGCTGAATTAGCCGTGAAACCTTTGTTGCGTTTCAGTACAAATCAGTCATCCCTCAATTTCACGATTAACAACTCAACGTAATTAAGGTTGACTCGGATAGGAAAAAATCGTTTGTTTTCGTGTGATAACTTTGAGGATTTTTTCTATCGGGAGGTCTTAAATTGGCTTAAAAAAATTACGTTAAATCTGTAATTAGTTTTGAGGTTGTCACTTTAAACTTTGACCACTCGAACCCCACATTTCCGCAAACGAATGAAAAAATCAATTTGAAACTTGAAAGTTCGCGTGTCTTAACAATTTCGTGGTTTTAATTCTCTCCAGCAGATTTTTCGGTTTCTCTCGAACCTGTGAGAAACTGACATTGCGTTGGGTCACAGGTTTCTCTTAAAGCGAGGAAAACAAAATGGGGAAAAGTCGAGTCGAAACTGTTTCCTTTTTTTAATTGAAAATTTAGACAAAACTAGACTTTGATATTATCTGAACGTCACTATACCACCTAAATCACGCGAGTTCTACCATAACTAATATTTGGGCCGGAAAAGCAACAGCAGATTCCAACAAACGGTATCTTTCATTTTCGCCACCAACCCCGCGTTGAAACCACCACATTACCACGATACGTATTTTTTTCATTCCATAATTATATGGTCCCTGTTCGTCTGCTTGCATTACGCGAGTTGTGATATGAGCCTGCTCAAGCTATATTCATCTCTTAATAGTGACGTACATTCTTTTAAACTTCAAAATAATTCTTTATGAACATCAGATCAAGTGGTCAGAGTGTTGGAATAGAAATCTTTTCAAGAAAGCAATTAATCGTTTCGCTTGGTAGATTTTTCCGGAAATTTCAAGGTTTTGCTGTTAAAGCAAACGGTTTCTACACCACTGTTATGGGAGAGACAGCCAGACTGGACGTTTTGTGGATGATTTTTGAGCCAATAACAGACTGAAGAATTTCCATGGTAAGTTTTTGAGTAAATATCGAGTAGAAATCCTCTCTCACAGAGATGTCTCGGAGCATTCAGTTTGCACAAGTTCCCTGATAGTTCAAAGATCGTAGCTGCCCTGTACTCTTCTTAAACTCGCTTATTTAGCGATATGACTTAGAAGTGAAAGAGGTATTTTTCCGTCGCTAACCGCAAAAACCTTGAGAATGAAAACAGTAATGAATAGCCACAAATCATAGTTTTCGCTGTTTTGCCGTCATACAGGGAGAGTTAACCTTGTCGAACGCAGAATGATAACTCTTTTCAAAGACTGTTATTTAAAATGTTTCTTCTTTTCTGTTTAGAAACCAGCACTATGAGAATAGCTGACAACTTCCCGCCATCAAAAAGTTCTGTTGCGACAGTTGACGCCGAAAACTCGACGTTCCATTTACAATGGGGTAAGCGATAGCGATGTGTGCTTTAACTTCGTAACCAAAAGAAAACTCAAATCAATTATTGTTAAGTTGAGCGTTCGGGAAACAAAGTTAAGTTCGAAACGAGAACGTGATAGTCGAAATGAAAAGAAAAAAACCGAGTATTTTTAGCTTCTGATGGGTGAATTTTGAGAGCTTATTTACGTAAATGGAGTCGGTAGAAATGGCGGGAGTTTGAAGAACAATACTCAACCAAAATCCGGAATTTTTAAGGAAGTACGGATGTCTATAGACGCTCGCGATCTAGTAGCGGAATGAATAAGTTCTATTTCTGTTTTCCGTAAGAAGTTAACACCGATAAATAAAATCAACCAGAATTTAACGAGTTATTTTTATGTCTCACTTGAAAACTTGATCCTAGACCTCGTTAACGTTTCCGTGATTTTTTTGTTTTGTTTCGTTCTCTTACAAGTACTGTCACGATTTAAGTGTTAGAGTCCGAATCTGCAAGAGAACAATCTCTTCTGTATGTTTTTTTTTTGCTTTGATTTTCGTCGGGGAAATGGTCTAGCTAATATCAATGCTCAGAAATGTCCAATATTCCAATATTAAACTTAAAATCTCTTATCATCAAAGCGAAAGAAAAAAGACAAATCCCTTACACGACTTAATTTTGTTCTTATATCCGGTGAACAGAGAATAACAGCATTTTATAGCGGGTTCAATTCTTCTGAAGGTGTTAAAAGTACTTCGAACAGTGTTTCCGATATTGATGGAACTGAAAACCTTAATGTGGAAGTATCACGTTTAAAAGATAGCCTAAATTTCATTATTTGAATGACTGAAAGATAGGGGTACATGATAATAAGCGCAGATAATGTCTTTAATGAGAAGCGAAACGGAAAGCGCGGCCTAACATCTTTGCGTCTGACTCTGTATGAGCAGCATTAAGGTGCTGCTCGAGATAAAACAATGGCTTGATAAAATCATTAAGAACATCACAGCTAAACCAATAATCAAACTAATATTTTTCGAAACTATTTTTAGTCTTACATGACCCTTAGCGTTCGTACGGGACTATGCTTGGGAAAAAGTATCAGTCGTTATTTGGGTGACGAAGATATACCCTCTTTTCTCCATCTCTGAAACGAGTAAAAGTCTGAGGACGCCTTGACGCCAGTTGATATTCAACTCTTGTCTAATGGAGCGAAAGAATTTCCTCTGATCTCCTCACTATGTAACGAAAATGTAGAAAAATAAACCTTATAATGGAAAACCTTGTAACATTTTTATAATTTTCCTTTTATAAAGTTTCCTCATTTTGTCAGTTAAGAATATATACGTCTGTGTCTTCCTCATTTTTTATCTCACACATCAAGAATTTTGAGAAGACAACAAATTTGTGGTACTCTTCTAATTGGTTTTGATATGGCTGGT